TCCAATTTTCCTAGAAATATTATTATTCTTTCTTCATGTGTTTCTAATCTTAACCTTTAATTTGGATTTAATGATAACCCGCCGCCTAAGCACAAAGATTTATCCTTTATGCACATGAAATCTGAACCTAGCTGCTGAGTTTAGTAGCTAGGGTAGTTTACCCATATCGAGATCTTTAATTTCCTTTTGGATAATGTAACCCTAATTACTGGTCATCTAAGATTATTAAATATATATGTGATGTATGAGAAGCAGCCTAGAAATAGAAGGCTATAGAACGATATCTATAGTTCGATCTCATAGTATTTTTTAAAGTTTAGATCCTTCACGTCTGAGCACGCGAAACAGCTAGGACACCGCCTGTTTTATTAGTCTGTTTGGTTTAATTACTCCCTCCGTTCCAATTTAAATGAACAAGTTTGACGGCATGAAGTTTAAAAAAAAAAAAACTTTTGAAACTTGTTGTCTTAAAATTTTAAGGGGTAAAAGCTTTGTGGGGCCATGACATTTGTTTGGTTATAAAAACTTCTCATTAAGGGTAAATAGATAAATTAAAAAGTTTAAAGTTGAATTATTTCCAATTGTAAAAATGTGTCATTTTTTTTGGAACGGACCAATAAAAAAATTTTGTCATCTAAATTGAAACAGAGGGAGTACTATAATAGCAATGTGAAAAACTAAATTATTATATAATTTAACTCATTATAATTGATAAGTTAACCTATCGTTCAGTTTATAGATCGTGCTTGTAACAAACAATTATTAACAGATAACTTCATTTTATTGCGTAAAAGTTTATATTACTAAACTATAAGAACACAATTAAACTTCAATTAATTCTAATTACTACTAGTATATTTTATGAGACTTCCTTTCTTCCAGCTTCTTCTTTTTTGTCTTTTTCCTATTTTGTTTTTGTTACAAATAACTAAATGGAAAAGATAAGACAAGGTGGACCTATATTTACTTTTAGGAAGATTAGTAGTGCGTAGAAAACAGATTATTTGCAGCGTATAGCCTTTTTTGAGGCCATGTTTTAAACTCTATTCGCTCTAATTCAACAGGCTAAAATTCAATATAAAAAAATAGTTATTGAATAATTTTCTATTTTTATAGACAGATTGAGTCCACTAACTAACGGTGAACAGAATTTAAATAGCTGCCTCAAAAAGGCCATTTGTGCAATTGCCCCGAAGAAACCAGGATGAGAACTTAAGTTACAAGATAGATGTAATATGAGCTAAATTTAGCGTTTGGTTTGAATTACTAAAGCCGAATGTCAGTTAAAACACAATAAGGAGTTAAGGAGTATTATGCATGCATGTGATGATACAATAACAAATTCAGTGAAATCTCACAAGTACAGGGTGAAATCTCACAAGTACAGGGTCTTGGAGGGTAGTATGTATGCAGACCTTATCCTTGGCCTGAGAAGGTCAGCTCAAGGAAGAATACACATGCATGTGATGATGATGGATAATATGACTATATATATGCTCTATATATATACATATATATTCCATCTTTTTTTAGAAGGATATAACAATTAGTTGCTTCTACTTTATCTGAAAGTTAAAGCATGTTTTAAGTTGAATGCATATCTGATAATAACCATTTGTCTAAAAATGATTCTCTATTAAATTCTTTAAACAATGAGAAGAAACACATGAAGTATTGACGACACTTGAAAGATTGCAGAAAAAACTGTTATGATAAGGTAAAATAAATATTCATCGGCAAAGCATATTCTTTTTCAACGCAGTTCTAATGTTCAAGGAGAATATATGTTGGAGAAGCCTTGTGGTATGATTGTAATCTTGTTCTTAATCTTTTTCCCGGATTTTTCTTATAAATTTCTATATATTTCTGTAAAGTCCGAGTTAGGTCATAGGTGCAACTTGTTGCTTTAATTTATGTATTTTAATCTGGATACCAGACTCTGACCTCATTGCATCTTTATAATTCGAATCGTTAATTAATTACAATTTACAACCATGACTAAATGTAGGACTGTGTTTCAAGTTGAGGCGGTTGACTCCAAGAGTATTAATTCCCTACAATAAAAAAAATATTAGTGGTTGAATTTAGAAAAAACCGTGACTGTCATGCATTGCAGATGGCTGAATTTATGCGGCCACAAATTCGAATTAGTTTGACGTATGATGTCGCTGAATTTTATCACTATAACAAAACTAAAATTAAAATTCATCTTTTGTCGCAGTAAAGTTAATGAACCATTGTTTGAATTGCTCCAGTTACAAAAAATTGGAGGGTCAATTTTCTGAATTGTATTGTGACACGTCACTCAACACACTAACGCTTTGTTACTCAGTAAATTCCACGTCAAAAAGAATAAAAAAGTTCATTGTATTTTGATTACTTTTATAGAAGTCGTGCAGTTGTTTTTCGGAAATTTTCTAGAACTGTTAATCTGTTATAATGGATGAAGTTTATTGTGTCCACATGTGAAATTTAACCTACGCACGATCCCTTATTTGTTCTCAATTTGGCAAGAAAAAGGAACAACTGGTAAACTGAATGGAACACTAGTCGGATTCAATTGGTTTTTGAGTGATTTTATTGTCTAAAGTAGACGAAGCTTAATCTTTTTTATGTTTCCTGTTGGCTTCGTATCTTGTTAAAGGAGTAATCGATTTTCATATAATGCCTACAAAAAAGTACTTAATTAAAGGCCAAGTAGCTTTTAGTTAGCCACTTCACCTTTTTAAATCCCAATCATACTCATACCTTTTCTTTACTTTAATTTCTTTTGCAAGCGCTTTCAATTTAGATATTTTTGGTTTTTATTACTCCCATAAAACTGTGGTTACTTAGTCCCGACGGATGATAATGATTGATATGTCGTGTTCTATGTTTTTATTTTATGTTTTGGTTACTTAGTCCCAACGGATGATAATGATTGATGGGTAATGTCTAATGATGTTTTCATTTATCTTTTCCCTTAAAAGTTGATTCCACTGCCACATTTCTCTTGATGATAAATGAAACTAGTGACTGCTGACACCAAACTTTATAAAATTATTCCCAATTTCATGTAAAGATATTTCATTCATGGAATAGAGAACTTCATTTGTTTTGTTGGCTAGTATTAAAAATAAGATTTTTGTTACTTTAAGAGGATTTATTTGGTGCTTATGAGTTGAATTTCCATACCGTATCGTAGAGGTGCAAGATTCAGTTTTCACAATGCACTTTTCTCCACTTAATATCTTAAAAAGATAAATGGAAATAAAAAAGATATTGAGCAAATTGGGGAAGCAGGCTAGCAACAAGCCCAATAATATGGACCCAATCACACAATACCTAGGGTTATTATTACTTCTAGCCCGCGCCAGAAACTATTTATATTCAGTAGCCAAAAACGTGTATAAAATTTGTATAATTTTTATATATAACATACAGAATGTATATATATTCAAAAAATATACAAAAAGTATATATTGTTTGGCTATTATTTTGAGAGAGGCTAAACAGTGTCATTCCCCAAATAGCTACCGGGAGGCCAAGCCCATGAAGATATTGGCCAGACAACAAATCTCACACTGGACGTGAGGCGCCGAGGTTTCTATTTTAAGCAACACTAGGAATCGAAGAAACATAGCATTACTGTGGAAGAAATGGGGTTATTGCATGCAATTACTGGAGTGATTATCTCCATTTCCATTCTACTACTGGCTATGGACACATCCACAGAAATGGGCTAGTCCATTGTGATTTTTCTGAGAATTTCGTGGTTAAGAGATCTCAATAAATCACCAGCAAATTTTGACATATTATTATTCATAGTTTTGAACATAACAATCTGGACGCTGAACAAAACCCTGTCTAGGTAATTGTTTGACTTATCAAAAACATAAAATAGTGTCTTGGTTATTATCATCATATCATTAACTGCTAAGTTAGAACTCGGTGCTATTGGCTTGTCTACTGTCCAGAAATATTTGTACTTTACATTCTAGTTCTCCTCATGGCATCAAGGGTTGTAATAATTTACAAAAACTGCAGGGCGGAGGCAGGACTTTTGCTAAGGGGGTTCAGAAAAGGAATAAGTTAAAAAATTTAATGAGATATTGTAGCTAGTTGGAATTGAACAATCTCATAATGGTTTTGAACCCCCTTGACCACTAAGCCATGCTTTTGGGCTGTGTAAAGGGGATTCAAAACATAATATATAGAGGCAAAAACCAGATTTTGCCTTATATACACAGTATAATTTTTCGGGGAAGGGGGTTCGGGTGAACACCCTTGCGCCCCCCTAAATCCGCCACTGCTGGCACATACTATGGTGTGCGGTTGGGGAAAAATATACAATGGGTGACAGAGTTTCCTTTTAGAGTAATAAAAGATCCTCAGTATTGGCAGCATTTTGAGTCTTGTTGCTTGTCTCTCTTGGGTTCCTCTCTTCTATATTTTCTTATTTGTGATACAAGTAGAATCCACTGGAGAAGCAGCAACTCGTGCAAAGCCACTACAGTAGACACCTCTATCAAGTTGAGGTAACTGCTTCTGCTCACTTGTGTATGCTTGAGGAGCCTGCTAACCAACTAGCTATTTTCTTGTTTTAGTGTTTTTGGAGTTCTCTGGTTTTTTTTTTTAGTTAAATTTAGCAGGGTATCACTTCTGGACAGCTTTAGTGTTCTTTTTTCTTGGTATCTTATAAAATTTTAAATTAACCAGCATAATTTCGGCCATACGTCCTCTTCTTTTGTTTTTGTTTTTGTTTTTGTTTTTGTAGGGGTGATTTTTAGGTTGGTTTCAGCTGGCTGCAGAAATGATATGTGAATGGATATTGCAGATCACTACATGCAACTTCTTGTTCATTTTACTTCTTGTCGAGAGGACGCATCAAGTTGGGAGTCGCTTGCAGAATAAAGTTGTGGAACCTGAACAGGAAACTATTCAGAAACTGAAGTGTTCCCCATGTTAGTGTATATTGGATTGCGTGTGAGATATATATAGAGAGAGAGAGCACAGAAGGCTACCAAGCGACAAGAACAAAGGTTTCTTTGCGCTTCTATTAATTACAATGAGAAGAAAGTAGAATACCAACTACTTACAGTATTTGGGGGGGGGAGATAATATTTAGAAGATTGCTAGGGGCATGGTGAAAATTTGGACTGCGCTCTTCACAGCATCAACATCAATATCTACCAATTTTCCTGTTTTTGATGAAATGGTTGCACATTTCTTTTCTTCTGCATTGGGAACAAAACTTGTGGCCTTATCCTCAGAACAGAATAGCCCAACACTTCACAGAGAAAACCAGAACAGATTTCAGACATGGTTTCATGCCCCCCCAAAAACGGTAAAATCGATAGTATATATAAGACTAGTGTGTATCAACCTCCCACAAAGACAGCAAAAGGTGCAAAAAATTTTCCAGTTACAGCTTGTAATACATGACATTACCTTGGCTTTCCACGTGCATGAGCAAGTTGTATGGCAGCTGTATTTGTGCATATCACTCCAGCAGAGTCATCAATAAGAGCAGCAAGCTAAAGCAGAGAAATTTGTGAACACTGTTAGTTTCTAGTGCTCATGTTGCTATTTCCTTCTAAAATTTATATACTTCCATTACGTTCTTGTGGAAAAAAAGCAGCATATAGATAAAGTTGCTGATACTAAACATGCAACAGAAGCAGCTAATTCAAGAATTTCTCTCTTTATGTTTCTTCAACCACTGGTGTATCAGTCATTGAAAATACATATGATATCATGAGCTGGCAGAGAAAACAAACCTGTCCAGGAGTGGTTATGAACACTATACTAGCATCTAAACCAACTGCATCTTCCACATTTTCTCTTTCTTTCTCATGCGGAATGACAAAAACTGGCTTGATTCCCCTGATAGAGTTTGCTGTCCATTAGTATATATCTCACAAAATTTCTTGCATTTGATGAGAAAGATTAACCAGCTATTTCCGAAAAAAACGGACATCATACCTAATCTCTTCTGCTATCTCAGCCCAAATCTCGATTGGAAGCAAGCTGTCAGCATCGCCCCTCGACTGCATAGAAGCTTTGGAATCTGATTTTATCCCATGAATTACAATATATTTTCCTCTCTGTGCACCAGCATTCTTATATTTTGCCTCTACAACCTCCCTAATCTTTCTTGAGATTGAAACTTTAAGTGGGGGTAAAGGTTGTCGTGGTACTTTACGAGCTGGTCTGCCCAACCAATCAACCATCTGACGATACCTATGTCACAAAACTGTGTTTATAAACATGTGATATGCAAACTAAAATTTCAGTTAAAACGTCAACATACATATGGTATCCACCCTCGGAAAGATTCATGCTTTCTGGTGTAAAAGTTTCAGATAGAAACAATCCTGCTCCAGCAGAATTCACATTTGGGTAAATGTAGCTAACTCTGTCGCGGGCAGTTGACATAAACAAGAATACTGCATGTCCAATCCCTGCCAGTTTGGTTGACAAGATCATATCATAGTACCTACTCTGCAATAAACCATGCATTAGAGCAAAATAACTTAGCCAAAAAAAATATAAATTCTCTATTCATAATGCAGGTAGCTTGAAGCTGATATGCATGACAGTAAATTCTTATCTCCATTTGACTAGAAAAAGTGAGTAATATCATGAAGTTAGTGTAAGCAATTATTTTCAAACACGGTTTGCTCGATTTTACAAGGATCTTAATCTAGACTTGTGCAGGAAAAAAAACAGAAGGGAAAAGCAAAACAAATCTGGATGATTGGAGAGCATTGCACTAGCCTTTTCAGGCAAATCTTAAAAGTCAAAAAGGCAGTTTAAAGTAGATTATTATAGGTGGAATTATATTAGGTCCAAGGTGATCACTTAGCTACACAATTAAGAAAAGAGCTTCAGTTATAAGGTAATTACAGGTAAATCTTCATATCTGGCCAAGTGGCTTAGTGTTTGATGTTTCTCTTAGTTTAAAGTGCAGTGTGTTAATTACATACATACATCAAGATATAGCAAGAACCAGACTTAAAAGGCAAAAAATGGTTTAATTAATGATCTGTTATAACAGAAGTGGCGGCAAACCTTAAGAATTCCAACCATATCAGTGTACTCTGCTGGTTCAGGAAAATCATCGTCCAAGTCATAGGCATTAGCCCACCTCACATTTTTGTTCAGTTCAAAAGTCTGTTTTCCCCTTGGCGTCGCAAGAATATCCACTTGAACACCAGGGTACCTATCCTTAATCATCTGAATTGTTGGAAAAAACAGCAAATTCTCATAAACTCCTCCATCAATTACACAACAACATCTCCTAACATCACCTCTAATTTTCAAACCCAAAGAAGCAATTTCGACAGAATATCCCATTGGGAATTTAAGGAACCCGTACGGATTATCGGGATTATCTGGTGGTCTTGGATCCTCATCTTGTTTACCATCTGAAAAAAGTGAACCATACTCCATTTCAGGATCATCACCATAGTCAAAAGGGTCAAGCCATGGATTTTTCTTCTTAGCATTGGGCTGAAAACTCCCTGATTTTCTGGCACAAAATGTGTTATCCAATGGATTTTTAATCAAGAAAGGTACATTTGTGACATGGGTTATAGGAAAAGAAGGTGGGCTATTAAGAAAATGAGAAATGGACTTAGGTAGTAGACTAGTTGTAGCCATTTGAGTGTATCATAAAATTCTGCAATAATTTTGGGATAGGAAATGCTTTTGTTAAAAACTATATAGCAGAATAGCAGAAGCTGACGTTGGATGTGAATGTGTGAAGGGTGTTGGATAAGTAGGTCCCAATGTTTTCCCTTTGTTCTTGCCTTGTCTTCTACTTCTGGTAGTAAAAAATACAAGTGCTAGCAATACTATATTTGTACACCAGCATAGGGAGAATCAGTTACAGGTTTCCTATAAAAAGATTGCTTAAGAAGCAATCAAGGAAAAAGTTGCATGAAAAGGAAAGGAAAAAGGGCAGTCCGGTGCACAAGTTTCCACTATGCGCGGGATTCAGCAGGGTTCAGGGAAGGGTCAGACCACAAGGGTCTATCATACGCAGTCTTACCTTGCATTTAAGCTGTTTTCACGGTTCGAACCCGCCGTGATCTTCTAGTCACATGACAACAACTTTACCAGTTACGCCAAGAATCCCCTTAATGAAAAGGAAAGAATTCCTCAAAATTATCTACCAAGTCAAAAAAGTAAAGATTAGAAAAAGAGTCAATGATGAGATCAAGAAGAAAAAAAGCTTACATACAGGGAGAGAGAGACGAGATCAGAGATCTTAATTAAAAGGGAAAAAGTAAATTCTTACGCCTTGTTTTATTCACTAACTAGCTTTGGAAGTAGTCTTGATCTTTTGACTTTAGGGTAACCTCTTTTTTATGAATAAGAACCGTTCTTTTTGGTAGTATTATTTCCTTTTTATAATCTTAATATATGAAGATGTTCATGGAACTAAAGTTGTACTCAAACTTCCATTTATAACTTATACATCACTCATTTATTGGTTTCCATTTTCAATTTACATTATATAATGTAACAGACTAAGGCCTCATTTGTTTTTTTTTAAGATTATGACGTCTGAATCTGAATACACATCTGAATATCAAAATGTGTATTAAGATTAAGACATCTGAATACACATCTAAATATATTAAGATGTATATTAAGATCTGAATAGAAATAATTAAGACTGTTTGATTTTTAACATCTGAATGTATAAAATGTATCTTTATCGAAAATTAATAAACATAAAATTCAAATGAAATACTAACTAATCTAAAATTCTATCAATAAAATATATAATTTTTTAAAATACGATAGTTGCTGGTGGTGATGGCTAACGGGTGAATGCCGACTAGAGGTGGTGTTGGTGGTAGTTTTGGTTGATGATGGTGGTTCATGCTAGTAGCTAGTAGTGATTGGTAGTGGTGGCGATTATGATTGAGGATGGTGGTGGTGGGTGGTGATAGTTAATAATGGCGGGTGGTGATAGTAGTTGTGACTGATGAAGGTGGTGGTTGGTGGTGGTAGGTTATAATGATGGGCAGTGCCGGCTGTGGTTGTTGATGGTGATGGAGTGGTCAGTTGTGGTAGTTGAGGTAGATGAGTGTTGATTGTGGGTGAAAATGATTATGGTGGTCGGAGTGGTGGGGATAGTGGGTGGTGATGGTCGATAATGGTGGCGACTATGATTGAGGATGATGGTGTCGTGGTGGTGGTGGTGGTGGTGGTGGTTGAGTATATATGGTGATGGTGGTGACATGGTGGTAGTTGATAATGGTAGGCGGTGGCGGCAGTTAATAATGAATATGTGATAGCATCTTAATGAAATTAAGTCTCTGTTATAGATCTTAATCATACAGACCTATTCAGACCCAATAAGTGGTTGTGAAGTAAAAAAAACAAACACACTTAATGATTAAGATATGAATAATTAAGATTCAGACTTTAAAAACAAACGCACTTAATGTGTGAGATCTGAATGATTAAGATTCAGACCTCCATTAAGTGCAAACAAATGAGGCCTAACAATACTCGAGTAGTACTAAACTAAAACTAGCATTATTCACTTTGTTTGGCTTAAAAGTTATCGATATACTTTGCAAGCTTAAAAACAATCAAAAGTAAGAAAGGGTAAATCGTAATCAAATATAACAGACCTAGAGATGAAAAATGAAGTTGTTGTTGTAGATCTAATAGTGATAATATGAACTCAAGAGAAAGTATTCGTTAGAGATAGCGATAGAGAGAGAGTATGAGAAAATGAGAGAGTTGTATTATTCCAGAATAATCCCCCATTTTTACAATGTGAAGGTCTCCCTTATATAATAAGAGACCTTCCTCGAAATAATCAAAAAGTTACAAAAACAGGTAACGTTTTCCTAGTGAAGACACTGAGTCCTAAACGATGTCGCTTTTGTCCCCACGTCTGAGTCGTACCCTTACGTTAGTTGGCGTATACTCACTGGGCGTATCCATTGGCGTAGAGACGCTGACGGTCAAATTTGACCATATACAGTTAGTCCCTCCGCTCGTTGGAGACGCATTCGGTGGGCGTCTTCAATGGGCGGAAATGCAAACCTCGGCTTAGGAGAATTTGACCTCGACCAGGGGCGCAACATGAATGAGGTAAAATGTATGACATTGTTGAGCCACTGACGCGTGGCTTCCTTTTTGGAATGACATCATCGCCTATATGCGTCATTATTATATTTGCCCCCGAGGCGGTTCAGAGGATGATGTGATATTTTGGTTTCCCGCGCACGTTTTGAATCATGACTCTTCGATTTCTGCGCAACTTATCCCTATAAATAGGAGAGAGGTTCGATTCGATTCAACTTTCAAACCTTCGGAAAGCATTTTCTGATTTACTCCTTTGTCTTTCTTTCCTGTAACCGTTATTTCGTGTGGGATTCCTCCACTTCTTTTGAAGTCATATTTCTCGTCGTTAGTGCATTATTTACCAAACAGAATCATCATGGTAAAACGTAGTCAAGGTGGTAAAAAGACCAAGGACACTGACCCATCTAGGGTTCCGCCTTCCTCTGGCGGTGAGGGGGAGGAAGTAAAAAAGACCCTCGTTCCCCTTTCTGTAGACAACGTCCTCCCAAAGGACATGCATATTCGAAGGGATTTTCAAACGAAAAGTCCAGCCCTTCCCTGGGAGCGTAGCGATTTACTGCAATCTCATCTAGACGACCTTCGAGTGACACACAACATTCCGGACCATGTGGAAATGGCTCCGTATGGGATGGACTACGCCAATGTGCACAGGCCTGGGTACTGCACATTTTACGAGTACCTGTTTTTGATCGGCTATAGTCTCCCGATCTTCCCTTTAGCGGAGGAGCTTTGCCGCTTTTACAATGTGTGCCCGACTCAGCTTACTCCTTACACCTTGAAGGTGTGCAGGATTCTTACCACGTACGCGGCTAGGGCTGAGTGCGGCGTCTCAGCTCACCATCTCTTACAGTTATTCAGCCCTGGTTACCTGAGGGGTACCATGTTGCAATTGAAAAGCCGTGGTACGAAGGGTTTGGTAGTTAGGGCTGACGACAAGGCCAACCGCCTCTTCTGGCGTAGGTACTTCTACATCAGGACGGAGCACCTGGTGTCTAAGCCTGAAGGATTCCCGGAAAGGTGGAACCCAGATCGTGAGTACCTTTATTTGCAGGATTCATGACTGTTCGCGACCTTGACCATTTGGCCACTGTGATTTCATTCTTTTTTTTTTGTAGCGAGGGCTTCTCCACCCCAGTTTATTGATGATATTAAATCATGGGTGGAAAGACTAATACCTTATGCGGAGGAATGCCTTACCTGGGCTGCATTTCTTCAACAGTACGGCCCGTCAGGTAATTCTTCAGCCTTGGTTTGGAAACTCCCTAAGATTCTGTTACCTAACTTACTCGTGTTGGCAGGTCGGAGCACCCCCAAGAAGAAGAAGGCCGTTGTTGCCTCGCCTAGGGCGGAGACCGACTCTGATGGCGAAGACATACCCTGCGGCTCGTTCGGCGATGGCGCTCCACAGGTTCCTCGGCAGGAGGCTGCGCCTATGGCGGCATCTGCAAGTGAAGCGACTCCTTCAGCGCCGTCCCCGCGGCTTACGGAGGAAACTTCCGAAGGTGAGGAGCCGCCAGAGAGAAAGAGGCGGCGGTTGATAACGGGCAAGGGGATAGCGATTGAAGACGAGAGGGTAAGTGAACCTCGTCAAGTATCGAGGCTGATTTTTATGGCCGATGCTATCCGTTCTGCGAGGTCGGCTCCACAAAGGAGAGCTGTTGCCGATGCCAGCCCAGCCCGTGTTCCGGAGAGCGGTTCGTCGGCCGCTGTTGATGAAGTGGGTGATGGTGTCGCGAGGGCGGATACTGAGGCCGTCCGTGGAGATGCAGATGGGTTGACGAGGGGTCCAGCCCACGTGGAGATGACGGCGGGTAGGTCTAACCGCCGAATTATGATCCCAGGAGGGTATAACCTGTTGCAACACAGCGAGTAGGCTGCAGTGGATATGACCCTGTTATGTGCGGTCGCTGAGCGTGAAATGTTGAAGGGTGTTAGCGATGGGGACCTATCACGGAGGGTCGCTGGCGCGGCCTTGCAGGTAGCTTTCAGTTTTCTCTGTGTGCCGTAAGGCTAAATGTGATACGTACTGACCTGCCTTTCCTCTTTTTCTTCTCCTTTTTAGACTCTCATTTTGGAGGTGGAGAGGAGGCGGCGGGCGCACAAGAAGGCAGCCACTTTCAACAAGATGGCGAAGAAATACCAACGGTGCCGCACCAAGCATCGGGCGCTGGCGGACTTGCTCAAGCAGGACCCAGAATTTCGGGTGTTTCGTGAGGGGCTCGAACAGTCGGAGGCCCAATTGAAACGGACGGTGGCCGAGCTGGAGCAGGTCGACGAGCAGCTGATGACTGCTCTAGCTCAGAACATTGAGCTGGAGACTCTTCTCCAGTCTAAGGAAGAAGAGTTGGAGGTTGGCCGTGGGGTAGCGACGGAAGCTGCTGATTTGCGGATCAAGGTCGCCGCTTTGATCGCCGAACTTGATGCCAAGGCGGCTGAGATTGAAGTCCTTAAGCGGACTGCTGCACCAAGGTCTGATGAGGATGCGCATTGTGAGGCGCATGATATATGGGTATACGCCGAGGCCAGATTGGTTGTATTCGAGGAGTTCTTAGCTGCGGGTCGAGCCACTGAGGCGGAGGTTCAGGAGCA